GAGACCTCGTGGGGAAAACTAAGGTTGCTGCTGGAAGAGGTGTTAGTGAGGCTAGCAGGGGGCTAGTCTAATGCCCCTAGTAGAGTGTCAGGGACACTAAACTGTAAACAGGCACTGTCCTTTGGATGAGATGTAAAACTGAGGTCCTGACTCTCTGTGGACACTGGTGTCCTGGCCAAATTTCCCATTAGCCCTTACCGATCATGGCTTCATAATAAACCCCATCTATGAATTGGCTTAATTATTCTGCTCTCCTCCCTACTGATAGCTGATGTGTGGTTGGATGTGATGTGTGTTCTGGTGCACTATGATTGCTGTCGCATCACCAGGTGATGCCCATAAAAGCAGCTGAGATTCTAGGAAGAGTACAACACCAGCAGTCGTGTCCTATGCTGGAAGAGCACAGTGAAAAGATTCAGGCTCCAGGTATGTGACTTTGTACTTACTGACTCTGATTCCTTCCTCCAGTTTGTCTGTCTTGCTTCTTCAAAAGAGAGAATGCTGACTTTTAAAAGATTCTTTAAAAACTTACATTTTTATATATGGAATTATCCTTTACTATTATTTTTATTAAGTGTATATTGAATATAGTTTAGTATTTCTAAAACTGGTCTTTAAAGATCAATGTTATATACAGTATTTAAAGATATTCTATATAAACTTTAGTGATTTATAGCTCCACAGCGATGTGTGCAGGGGACAGTTCATTGGCTCATCTGAGCCTCAGGCACAGTCAAATCTGAAACATCAGTACTTGCTGATAGAGTATGATCCATAACAAGCAATTTACAGTAAAAATTGTCAGTTCCTTCCTACTGTATTTAAACTATGCATCTTTTTCAGATTTGTGTGAACAGCAAACTAAAGCAATTATATCTTTGTATCCCAGTATTCCCCTAATTTGTGTGAACACTTAACTAGAGAAATTCTGTCTGTTATATACACATTTAATAATATACAGTACTTGACTAGTGATTCTAGATATATTTTCAAATTATTATCCTCCCTATAAACTGTAGTTATTGCTTTCATATTGATTTCAATTTCCTGATTAGGATAAAAGCCACCTGCCTCATAAGTACTTTTTAAAACAAAAAATCAATGTTACTTTTTCTGTATCAGACGGAATACAGTTATGTGGATATTTAACACTAATATTAAGTCAACAGCTGCAGAAAAAATCCAAAGCTCAGAGACACACTAAACTAGATAATTGAATAATTGAAGTTCCTGAGTTCTATACAGAAATAAGATTAATTAGAAATACGATTAGATTATTATAAATTAATTTGAAAAATCAGATAAGAAGATAAGAATAAGAAATAATCTTAATAGGAACCAAACTTTAATTATCTTAGTAGGGTCCCATCTGATAAAAAATTAACTCAGAAATAACAGAAACCCTAAATGAAAATACGTATCTATTGTAACTCTGTCCAGACTCTTCTGTCGAAGTCTCTGAGCTTCTGAGTTATGAACAGTTCCAATGTCACCCTGCACTCTGAGCTCATCATCGTGGGAATGCCAGGCCTGCAGCAGCACTATACTGCACTCATCCTGGTGTTAGTGACCATGGACCACCGGCTCCACACACCCATGTACTTCTTCCTGTGGAACCTGGCTGTCTTAGATATACTGATGACGACGTCTATCATACCCAAGATGCTTGCAGTTGTAGTGTGCTCTCTGAAGGCACCAGTTCTGTAGGGTTTGGGCATTTACGGGGACAATTATTAATTGTAGCCGTAAATCACAAAATGATTATTTTGATGGC